AAAGGATGTTTTGGAAACAAATTAAAAACAATTAGTTAAATTAGAATTGAAAATTACTATTTTAAGAAAATGGGGTCTTTGGGAAAAAAATAAAATTATCAAAGGATGTGGCTGGCCAAAATTATAATTCTTTACAATTTTCCTATACTTAAACATTAGTCATTGGAGGGTAGAAAAGCACATAGTTTGCTATTGTTCTAAGTTTCTGAGAAGTACAATGAAATTGTAGTTTCCCCAGATAATGACTTGTGCCCTAATGTGTGGGGAGATGAATTAAAGTTCTTTGAAAACACATGCTTTTGTGTCTTTGTGTGATCATATGAAGAGAAATCTTACTGTAACATTGGTTGGGAAACTTAATCTCCATGGAGATGGGGAGGGAAAGGAACCTAGTTCATATTACTATTGTTAAGTTCCAGGCCTTATTCTTTGCCCAGAGCCTGGTCTCTGGAGACTCAGATGCCCTGGACTCTGACTGTTGCTGCTGAATGCCCCCAGCCAGCCTGTAATGAAGCCTGTCTCATATATAATTTGATTGTGAATGTGGGGGCTGACCAGGTAGGTATTGTCAAATCATACCACGCAAGTATCACCAAAACGTGTGGTGCAGGAGTCTTTCATCTCAGAATCATGCCATCATGGGTTTGAGAGCAAGGACAGGATAAGGGTGTGGTGGTTATCATTCAGTAGGCTGTAGTGATCTTTTACTTCCCTTGGATGTAGCAGGATGTAAGACATTTTGTGAAATTGAAGCCCGGTTCCAAGCAGATGTCACACATGAATCTGTTTTTGTCTCAGGGCAATGGTAACGTGATCTGAGGTGTGGGATAATACTGGATCAGTCCTTGATTCTAGAGTTTTCAGTAACTGCTTCCCAATGCAGAAAGTTTGGGCTTGCTTGCATGTCCTGTCCAAAATAATTGATGGACTGATTGAATCGTGCCTTTGTGGACACTCTGATTATGGTTTTTTGGGAAGGAACAAAGGAAGAGATACATAACTCACCATTAGAGACAAAGGGCAAAGCTGACCAAGTAAAGTTAAGAGCAAAGAAGCATGCTTTATCACTCTTACTGTATCTGAGGATGGTGGCTCTGTTTTGGGTAACAGTCCCTTCTGAATAAGGAGACACGAAAGGTGAGCACTTTCAGGGGCCCAGGGAGGACAAAGTCTGTCAAACTGGCAAGTTGAAGTAGCTTGTTTTTTGTCCCCTTAAAGTGGGATGAGTTGTTGATAGGGGAAGACTTTGTCAGAGTTGGTATATTATCAATGGATTCTCAATTGCTACTGAAGGAACAGGTGGTAGCCATGACTAGGAGGTCTTTGCAAAAAATATTTTTGTGTGTCAATTGCACTTATTTCTGGATCAGGAAGCCTGTTCCTAAGCTTATAGAAAGCAATTTATCCATCTCAAACCATAGGATAATTAGGATCTAGGAAGGGAAATGAAGTATTCTCCTATCTCAATCAATTTTTCTCATTTGATTCTTTTTTCCTCTTAGAACTCAAATCTCATTCCTCACATTCTTATTTTCACTTCAGATAATGGCAGAAGTAAGTTTAAGCTTCTTTGTGTTACTTGTTTAAATTAGTCTTAGATTATCACTTCTCTGGAAGGACACCAATCCTGAGTATCCAAACTCCACTGACAGAGATTCATCAGAACGTTTCAGTATATATAATTTAATAGATTATCCTGAGGTTCTTACTTCTGCTATTTTCTACAATCGTATAGAAATAATTAAGAAAATATGAAAGAAACAACAAAGAAGCCATTGCACAGCTAACTCAAAGACACATAGAGATCTTAAGTAGTTAGTATATCTCAAGATAAAAGCCATTAATTAGCTACCTCTCAAGGAATGAATTTTTTATTTGTCTATCAGTGGAATTGAATAGCATATTCAGCTTTATGTAGTGGAATAAAGAAAGATGCAATACTTGACAATAAACATGACTTTATGCTAGACATGTTTTTAAAAATCTATGTAAGGTTTACTTTATGTAGCTGATCAGTACAGAAATTTGTTTCAGATAATGGAAACAAAAGTTAATAAAACTATGTAAAACAGTAGGATAGGATTTTTTTATAACAAATTGAGAAAAATGTGATCATTGCAAAAAGAAACTGCTGTAAGCAAAAACTGATCCAAGAGGCTGAAGAAATATGTAAGTAGTGGGTTATTTAATACAATGCAAGTCTCTGCTCTGTCTGCACAATATGCACAAAATTCCAGAGATGGAAAGATTTGAAGGAGTAACATATACTCCGGGAAGGGGAAGGGGAAGAAAAAAAATTGTCACAGGTATGAAGATTAATGTAGAAAACTCCCATTTCATGAAGATGTGAACAAAATATGCACATGCTAGCTAAGACTGTCATTGTGGTTTCCTGTTTTGTTATTTAGCCCCGACTATGTGATGCACTTGAAACTCTGGTGACAGCTTTTAAACTTGATTTAAACATAGAAATACTTTAATGATTATATTGATTATGTATTGGAGAGAACTGTTTAATCTTGAAAACACATTTTCAGAATTGTTACAGGACACACAAGATTCAAGCAACCAATGTCGTCTTCCTCTTCCAAGAATTAACGATCACTTTCTTTGCTGAAAAGTTTTTTTAAAAAAAATATTTTTCATGAGTTAAGTCATTTGTTGAAATGAAACTTTACAATGTTAACTAATATTTTAATCCTAAAGTTTAAAGGGTGACATTCTTAAATTATCCTGATGGTCAACTGTTCGGAAGCAATAATTCATGAAGACTTGCATCAGAATATTCTTTCTTCCCTTTCATTTTTTAACTGCAATGCTATAAAAATATATCTCATTCTTCATAAGCCACTTTACACCAAGATACTTTCTCATGGTTGTAACTGTAGCATTCTTCACAAAATAACTTGATTATGATAGCAATAGCACTTAGATATATATACCGCTCCATAATATACCCAACAATCTGGGTCCTCATATTACTGACCTTGGAAGGACAGAAGCTGAATTGAGCTTGAGCCAATCAGGATCTCAAAATGTCATAAACATGATTTTTATATATCTTTGATGTTCCATATTGGGCCAATCAAATGAATTAGAGCTTCATTGAACTTTAAGATACAGTTTAACCTCATCTCCTATGTTTTGGCATTAGAGCCTGTTACAGAATAATAGAGATGGGGCTGTGAAAGTAATTTTTTTTCTGCCCTGAAACTCCCTTACTTTGCTAGAGCTATATGGAGCATTAGGGTCCATAGATGCAATGCAACTTTTCATTGCAGTCCTCCACTTAATTTAAAAAGAATCTTTTCAGTAACATACTGTTTTATTAATACAAATCCCACTCTCTACAAGTGATAGTATGCAGGTATTCCTTCAGTTAAAACAGTCACGGAGCCTGCCCATTACTGTCGAAAGTTGGGATAAACATTAAATGAACCGCATCATTAATAGCCCCTCCCCCATCTACTCTTCCCAATGCATTTGTTAAGTAAATTTGTGGATCGTTAAGTAGAACTTGCAGTGACAGCAGATTGTGAGACACCTAGTACAGGTACAGGCTACCTGCATTGGACCTCCCAAGGCTTCTCACCTTTTGAGATATACCATGCTCTGCTTCCTGACCCTTGAGCACTCCTACCCCACTGTCAGAATCACACACTTATCCTTTAAAAATACTCAGAGCTCATTAAGTAGAGTAGAGAAGGCTGCTTCACTGCTGGGCCGCATGGCACAACTAATAATAAATTCTGCCAGTTTGGCTTTCCTGCTATGCTCTGCTTTTCCAGTGCTACAAACACTAGTTTTGTGCCACCATTGGTAACCTTGGGGGATGCAAGAAAGCAAAACCAGTATTTTTCCTTGATGGTGTCATGTGGCCCAGCAATGAAGTGGCCTTCTCTACTCTGCCTGCCTGAGCTCTGGATAGCCTCAAAAAGTAAGTGAACGAATGGTGACCAGGGGTGGGAAGGAGTGTGTGAAACCTGATGGGGTGGCAGAGCAGGCCCAGTGCCGATGGGGACTCAGCCAGACAGAATGGTGGGGAAATAGCTAGGCAGGTAAAGTCTCCAGTTGGTCGTAAGGGTAAATGACAGCAGAGGTGCTGCAGGTGTTGTATATTTAAAATAGGTTTGAATGTAGCTTTTGGGGGTTGTGTTGTAACCCCCAAAATTTTAAATGCCCTATCATACCCTGAAGACTACCTCAAAGTGTGATAGGGCATTTAATAGCAATTCCCATGGGCATTGATAGTAATGCCCATGATAGTAGTCATTAAATGCCCTATTATACCTTGAGAATTGCCTGTAAGTCTTTATTAGTACTGGCCTTGGTGCTTAAAAATACACCTTTCTATGAATACACAAGGCAATCCAAAACTAGCTATGTGAGGTCCAAATACATGTGCCTAGTAGTTACATACAGGTAGACCCCAACTTACAACTATTCGTTTAACACTGATTTGAAATTACAACAGTGCTGAAAAAAATTGATTTATGACCGGTCCTCCCATTTATGATTTTTGCATAGTGACCTTACAGTCATGTGATCAAAATTTAGGCACTTGTCAACAAGTATGCATGTATGGTAGTTGTGTCCCGGGTTCATGTGATTGCCATTTGCGATCTTTCCTGCCAGCTTCTAGCAAGCAGAATCAATGGGGAAAGCGGAATTCATTTAACAATCGGGAAACAGCTGTGGCAAAAAAAGTTGTAAAATTGGGTGTGATTCAATAACTGTATCACTTAGTTCCAGTACCAATTGTGGTCATAAAATGAGAACTGCCTATATCTGCATTTGCTTTTGAATATGGATCTTCATTATCAAGTTGTTAGCCATTTGTTTTAGGGGTCATATCATAGTTGACTTCAGATACAAAAGTTGACATTCTTTGTAAGGGTATTTTTAAAAAATACTTTCACTTTCTAAAATAAAGTTGGCAAGGGCTTTATATTTGGTAATGGAACCGAATTGGAGGGGAAGTTCTTTTGGGACCCTTCTATTCAGAAGCAAGATGAATTACCCACCTGAAGTGATCTCCCTTTCGTCTCTATTGGCAGAGTGAATGCAGAGATAGCACACACAAGGCAAACCAAGGCAAAAAGGCACAGTGCCCCCAAGAAAGAAGCATTCATAAGTACCTACAATTAGATAATGTGTTAGTACCATGCTGTCATGCAATTCTGACAATTCATCTGTAAATCCTTTCAATAGAATTATCTTTCCAGACATGAACTGAACGTAGGTGGAAGAAGTTCGCATGGAATTGCAATGCCAAACTTTTCTTATACACACAACAGAAGTCCAGTTATCCATGGGTACAATTAATGAAAGTTTATTCATGGAGGGGTTGTTGAGAGAAGGAAACTTGCTATTATAATGTTGCACATGTAGGAAGCTTTAAAAAAGGGTTGGGTTAGGAAAATACAAGGCTATTGCTTTAATTTAAGTAAAATATTACATGATTCATTTCCTCCACACAAAGCTCTATGGGACTGCAAAGTCTCTAGCTAAAGAAAGGAAAGGTTTCAACATCTTTTTTCATTTCTCTGAAATGATATTGTACTTGGTTTTTAATTATGTTGTAAGCCGCTTTAAGAATTGTGCTGGAGTAGAAAAGGAGATTGTACTTTTTCAAAAAGTAATATTAAATTTATAATGGCCCTTTCATTTATCACAGCACAAGCTTTTGTGAACTACATCATACTGCATCAGTTGAAATTATTAAGAGTAGTTCACTGTCTTATAAATTGATTTCTTTCTCTTATTTATTCAACAACCTATAGAAATTCATCACTTTTCGTTCTATTGATTTCATTGGAAGAGTTCAAGGATTTCTTTTTTCTCCACTAAAATAAAGATGAGCTAGAATCACTTTCTTATTAGTGAATTAATATCAATTTTTATTAAGAAACTAATTTATAATAAAATAAGCAATGTTTTTTAATCAGCCGATGTAATTATAATTAACCTTTTTCTCCTAATGTCTTTCAGAATTGTTACATTTATTCATATTGTACCTTCTAAGCTTCAATAAATGAATGGTGCTGTTTTGAGTATTTCTTGTAATTAAGATTTTTAAAGAAACTTGTCCTTTCATTTTTAAATGTTTATCATTTTCCTTTATATGTACCATAGCCAAAACGGGATTCTGCATTTTGAATACATTAATATCAGTTTAGCTTCCCTGATGTCCAGGGAACTTCTGATCGCCGTGGTCAGGTGACCAGCATGACTCAACTTCGGAGGCGCATGGAACACCGTTACCAAAGTGGTCCCTATTTTCCTACTTGCATTTTTTACAGGCTTTCAAAGGCTGGGTTGGCAGAAGCTGGGACAAGTAACGGGAGTTCACCCCGTTACGTGGCGCTATGGATTCGAACTGCTGAACTGCCGAACTTCTGATCGACAAGATCAGCGTTCTGATGTTCAGAATGTTTCCAAACATTTTGAAAAGAAATAATTAGCATAAAAAACAGCCAAAATCTTACAAATTTGAATCTTTAAACATAAATCAATCTATACAGTATATTAAAATTATTTGCCTGGAATCTATTGCTATATATGCAGTGAAATTCTTAAACAAAAGATGTCTTACTTGTGCTATAAAAGGTGCTACCATAGCACCTATACGACATATGGAGCCACTGGTCCCTAATCCCAAGGCTCTCATGGTAGTAGGATAAACCTATAAAACAGTAGTAAAAATATGTGAGAGTAACATCTGTGACAGACAAAGTATTGGATGAAGCAGAGGGCAGTATGGAATCAAGGTGTGTTTAGAAATACAGTACTGATGATTCCAAATATGATGTCAGAGAGATAAAAATATAACTAAACCTTTTACAAAATTTACAGAATTTATGTCATTTTATGCCTAGAGATAATCCCAGATTTTTGTTGAATTCAGTTAGTTTCGTGGGACCAAAATATTATCAATTCTGTAAATTTGACTCCAGTGCAGCACCTGAGTACAAAACATTAGCCCTCATTTTAAAGAACAGATTCATAAAATTAGCAATGTTTAGAAAGATAATGTTTTTTTTTAAAAAAACGTAAACAATTTCAATTCAGTAATTTTTTAAAAAGTCTTGTTTGAAAACAAGCATAAAGCTCCTGCTAAGTTATAGGTGTTAGCATATGATTCCTGTCTATTCTGGCTTAGGTTGGAATGCCGTATTATTTTATGTGGAATTAAATAATAAACTTGGTGAGATTTCTGAGTAAACTGACCAAAGAGTACCCTGTTGAGCAAAAAAGTTATAAAAGGTTATTCAGAAACATAATTTAGGTAGTTTTTCACTTTGCAATTCAAGAAATCAGGAGGGCCTTACCTCTGCTGTGTAAATATAGATAGTATTGAAATTTGCAGCTACAAAAGCACGCAACATAAAGAGGAAACCAATAAGACCAGTACTAGAAATAAAGAGAAAAGATATGAAGAAAATAATGTAATAATATAATAACAAAGCCCAATAGTTTACTAGTGTGTCTCACTGATATGATCCTGGAATGTTTGAATGACTGTTGAGGAGGAAAGATTATATGTAATGCAAGAAGAACATTAAAAGGGACGTGGTGGCTAAGACACTGAGCTTGTCAATCAGAAAGTTCAGGCGTTTGAATCCCTAGTGCCACATAACAATGAGCTCCTGTTACTTATCTCAGTTTCTGCCAACCTAGCAGTTCGAAAGCATGTGAACATGCAAGTAGAAAAATAGGGACCACTTTGGTGAGAAGGTAACAGCGCTCCGTGCACCTTCAGCATTTAGTCATGCCAGCCACATGACCACAGAGACGTCTTCGGGCAGCGCTGGCTCTTTGGCTTTGAAACAGAGATGAGCATCACCCCCTAGAGTCAGGAACGACTGACATACGTGCGAGGGGAACCCTTACCTTTAAGGGGAACATGTTTCTATCAAAAATTAGTTGTATAATATAAACTATTAATAGTATATCTATATAACTTATTTGCATGTGAAGGCCAACAATGGAAGGGGTGGGGGGAGGGTTCAGTATTATTGTGTGCTCAATCAAGTTTTTCTTGGGGTTCTTGATCAAGTAGGTTTGCTGATATGTTTAATATGATGTAAATCCCTCAGATTTGTTTTTAAAATAAATTGGGATATAATTTTAAAAAATATATTAGTGCCAAATAGCCGCCTTAACAAAATTCATGCATTCCACATCAGGTTTGCCATTAGAATTGGTACAGACAGCCTCCGTGAAATAATAACCATATATCTAAGGTGTCAGAAGGATAGTCACGTGCATAATGGAAGCTCTTTCCGGAACAGAGCAGATACGAACACCCAAAACAAGGCATAGCTTAAATGCATTGCTATATTTTTAAACCAGAATAAACTGCTATCAAACATGGGCATTTGCTGCAATCCTCGGACATTTAACGATAACGATAGGATGAATGCCTATAATATCAGTGAGAAATTGTAAATATTTGGTAAAGTTAATATTTAATTGGTTATGACATTTTTGCTCAATCTATACCGTCAAGAGGGAGATGTCTAGAAACATGAAATACAACTAAATAAAACTCCATTATGATCAACTAGTAGCTAATCAGTAAAATTATACAATCCCACACATCTGAAGAGCACTGGACTGGGATATGCTGAGGGGAGCCTCAGCTACATGTGCAGGAAGGGTAAATCTTATTCCGTAACTTGCTGAGATGACAAGACATGAGCATTTTGTGGCCCACAGCCACATCCAGGTCTGTGGCTGTCTGGCTGGTTGGGATGGTGGTGGCTGTCCACAATGATCCCATTGTGGTTTTTCATGTGGCCCCTTGGGCAAATTATTTACCCAACCTGCATTATAATAAATAGGAAAAGCCACATGTTGATTGAGGACTGAACTTTCATTCCAGCAGCTACCAATTCAATAGCATTGGCAAAATTACAGTTTTACACATACACATGTATATATAAACATGTGTCCAAGCCATTTGCTCATTATTTGACTTCTTGTAACATACATTGATGGTTTCTATCAGATGCAAAGATCTGCTGACTTTCATCATATAATACCTTAACACATAAAAATAATGAAAAATCAATACATTTCAGGCAGGAAATCTGTCAATTCCTTTTTTCTTTTGTTCACGGAGAGAGCCATTGTACATTTATACAGTAGGGTAGGCATCAGATAGGATAAAGAAAACCTTGGCAATCAATTTGTCCAAACTGGCATTCAAAAACATTCTCTGTTGGCACCAACTGCCTTTATTACTACAGGTTATGTACTAATGTGAAGATCAACATAATTATCCATTTACATAATGTCTGTTTGGGGGGGAAACCTTCAGTTTATACTAACCAAACATCTGCTTCTGTCAGTTGCTCTGTTTTAGATTGACATACCAGATAGGAAAGAAAGAAACTACCAATGTTGGTGTAATCAATCACAACTTTCCAGCAAGTTTTCACCAGAAAGAAACATGGACCAATCCTTATTTATTTTAGAAATATACAGTTATGGTCACTACATTTTTGTTACTTCCATGTTTATTTTCTTCTGTCACCAAACAGTTGATCGTAGGGTATCTGAGTAGGGACCTTATATTTTGCATTCTATAAAACATTTTTCCCCAACATGCTCTCAAAATATGTTAGATTTCATCTCCCATAATTTCAAGTCAGTGTACTGGGGAAAACTACTGTAAGAACCCAAGAACAATGCTGATTATATATTGCTGCAACTATTTTTCACACATAACCCACAGTCACATTTTTGAAAATGAAGTTAGAAAATACAAGGGGCCCCTGAATCAGATCAAGACCGTTTTTGTCTTGGAGCTCCTGGGAAACTCACAAAGATAGCCCTCTTTCACTGGTGTTTCTAATGTGTGTCCTCTGAACTTTGGGGATATCATATCTCATTATGTTTTGTAGTAGCAAGTTATTCCAAAAACTGAATACATTTCTGCCTTCATTTTTGGGATATTCCTAAATGCATAATTCCTGCCTGCAATAAATGTTCTATTAAGCCAAACTATTTTAAATTTTAAGCACTCAATGAATAATCATGTCCATTTCCCCAAATATGATGACCACGCCAGAGGCAAGCATTGGAATCCAAATATTTCATGATAATATGCTCCCACCCAAGACACTTACATTGTGGTGCATATATTGAGGAGAAGAAAGAAAACAGCAGTGCATCCCATTGTTATTGTCAAGCTCACTCGCCTTCCCAGGAAATTGATGGCAAGAATATTTAAGGGATTTACTATTTTAAAAAAAGAAAAAGGAGGAAAAGATGTCACCTTGTAAAATTCAATTAATTAACTGAATCAGTACTACATAATTATCACACATACATATAGACCCCTGCCACCTTAGGGAAGACTGTTGACAACTATTTTCTTCATTGCTTTCCTTCGATTACTTGAAAACTGCAAATGGGGACTTTGTAACAGAACTCCCATCAGCATCTAGTTCAATGTTTCTCAACGTTGACAACTTGAAAATGTATGAACTTCAGGAGCTGAAATTAGTGAGATTAAGGGTGGTTCTTACATTCCTAAATAAATGCATTAATGCAATTTTCGCAGCTGACAACAGCAAGTGAACTGTTTTTCATACAGAATTCATACAGAACAGTCTGCATCTCTTTGTCTGAAAATCTCTGTGTATGTGTGTATCTAGTTGTGGAAGGTAACTTTGGAGTCTCTTTCCCGTTCTCCATGCTAATCTTCTATAATATAAAATTTTCTCTGTGTTTGTGTGTGTGTTCCAGCATAACTCTGGAACATCTCGAGCAATTTCAACTAAACTTGCTACATAAATGACTTACTCTCTGGAAACAAATACTGTGGGGGTAAGACACCTCTATAACCTCTCAAGGTGTGTGTTCTGTTAAGATACAGCCTGTTGTGCCTTAATATGACTTCTACTGTGCAATACAGTGGAGTTGCCATGGTCATGACTTCACGTACTCCACAAAGGGGCTCCCTCTGGTAAGGAGGAAAATCCAACATTAGAAATTATGTTTGGTCTGGATATTTTCCCCCTATAAATCAATAAAGGCAGAAGGCAAAAAAATTACATGCAATTTCTCCTACTGTGCTGATGAACATGATCTGGTAATCAGATGGTGCAAAGGTATGGCAGAGACAAGGGCTCTGAAACTCCTCCTGAGTATGGTCCAGATCGGCTTCTACAGATCCTCCTCTTGAACAAACCAGATCCTTCTCCAGTAATTCTGCACTGGCCAGGATGATACCATAATAAGCAAAAGAAATTCCAAGCCTGTCATAGAAAACAAAAGGGGTTAGCAATGGGAAACAATCATTCTTTAGAATATTCTCTAAAGATAATAAGCTATATCTATAGGGTACATTTGATAGACCTAAATAGAAAACCAAAAAATTAGGGGATTGGTAAACACTATTTACCCAAACAACTTCAAGAATGAAGAACATTTTTGTTACTGAAGTAAGCAATTAGAATAATTCCAGAAATCTTTTTGTAACCTTGGCCTAAATAATTCAACTTCCCATAACTTCAATTGATTCAAAATTTTGCACTGATCCTAATTTCAGAGTAGAAGAGCAATAAAGTAACTGCCAATATGTTAGCTCTTCTTGTTTTTTGCCCACTTTAAGGCTTCAAGTGAATTAGGTACAGATCAAATGTTAACTGGTTAGAACTGGGATGGCAAACCTATGGCACGTGTGTCACAGGTGGCACATGGAACCATTTGTCAGGGCACACAAGGTGTTGCCCTGTCAGATGGCCATAGGGCCGTTTTTAGTCCTCCGGAGCCTTCAGGGAAGCTGTCCCTAAGGCTCTGGAGGACTAAAAACGGCCCTACAGACAAACTGGAAGAGACTTCTGGTTTGCTCATAGGGTCATTTTTCAACCTCTGGAGCCTTTAGGGAAGCCTCTGGAAGGCCCCTGAAGGCCCTGGAGGGCTAAAACCGGCCCTACGAGCAAACCAGAAGTCCATTCCTGAACTTCCGGTTTGCCCGTAGGACAGGTTTTTTTGCACTCTGGAGGCTTCAGGGGCTGTTTTCATCCTCCCCAGGCTCCTATAAAGCTTCTGGAGCTTGGGGAGGGCAAAAAAAGCATGCAAAAAATGGGGGGTCATACTGGTCATGTGCGCATGCACGCTGGGGGTCGTGCCCTGCATTATGGGTTTGTCACGCCCCTGCGCTCCCCCATTTTGGCACGCGGGCCAAAAAAAGTTTGCCATCACTGGGCTAGAAGATCCAAATTACATATCTGTCTGTTACATAGTCACTTATCTGTATATTTCTGCTTCTAAGCCTACATTTTAAGATACATAAGAAAACATCACAGCTAACGCTTACTCTGGATTTCAATTGTATTTTTATTGCACAATCTAGAATATATGTTTCTATTGTCAAGACTAAATTGGCATATGAATGTGACACTGTTCAAAGACAGTTTTATTCATTGATACTTCTCTAATTCCTTCAATTGCTTAATTAATGAAGAAACTCAATGCACGCGCGCACACGCACACACACACACACACATATATATATTCATTGATTGGATACTATATATACATAGTATAGTATATATGGTATATATATATATATATATATATATATATATATATATATATATATATATATATATATATATATATATATATATATATATATATATATATATATATATATATATATATTCATTTTCAAATTGGAGGGGAAAATAAAACAGAATATATTAACTGCATCTAAGAATGCATATGGAAGCTTTGTGATTTGGTGCTATTCAGATATGCTTGGAACAATAATTCCCAAAACTGTTCAGCATGCCATGAGTGTAAACAACAGCTAGCACCAAATTTTGTTGGTTAGAGTTTATATTTCAGTGTGTCAAATGGATGGAACCATGAAGAATGCCTGGCTGGAGAAAGCCAAACAGAGCACCCTACACAGAATCAAATGAATAAATGTAAGCTAAATTACTACAATAGTTCCTTAGTATTCTGATTAGCTTATGAATAGTAATTTTTATTCTTAAGTTAATCAGAGTTGGGAGCTATAATAAATTTAAAAACAAAGGAAATCTAAATTTTCCCATTAACATTCATTAATTTTACTTTGTGCACTGCAATTTGAAAGAAGAAAATCATATGAATTTACCATATAATCCATATTTGCAAAGATGTCCGTAAGTATTTGGGATCAAATAGATCTTTGAATCTACCTCGTTTTTCCTAGAAATATGTTAAAGGAACAGTCAGAAATGCACAGGATATGTGCTGCTTAAATGCTGAAGACACATCTCAAGCTTTGAAACCCTTTGTGAATTATAATCTAACTTTTCAGTTCAGTAACTCGTGGTATCCCGAGCAAATAAAGGCAAAATAAAATTCAGAAACATCTGGAAGGCCACATATTGGACACCTGGGAGTTGACTACAATGTTCATTTTGTTTCACTACAGATTGCACAATACATACTACTATTATATCATGCATTGTGCCAACAATGGAATATATAAGGAAAGAAGAAGAGTTGGACCAATAGTGGCTTCTTGTCTTTTGTAATATTTAGTAAGTTAAATTCCATTGATGTGAACAGATAGTTAAGCATAATTGTTGTAGTTTATGGACTTTAATTACTTTATTTTAGGAGACTTTGCGGGACACGGTGGCTCAGTGTCTAAGATGCTGAGCTTGTCGATCAGAAAGATTGGCAGTTTGGTGGTTTGAATCTCTAGTGTGCGAAATGGAGTGAGCTCCCGTTACTTGTCCCAGCTTCTGCCAACCTAGCAGTTCGAAAGCGTATAAAAATGCGAGTAGAAAAATAGGAACCACCTTTGGTGGGAAGGTAACAGCGTTCCGTGCACCTTCGGTGTTTAGTCATGCCGGCCACATGACCACGGAGACGTCTTCGGACAATGCTGGCTCTTCGGCTTTGAAACAGAAATGAGCACCACCCCCTAGAGTAAGGAATGACTAGCACATATGTGTGAGGGGAACCTTTACCTTTTAAGGAGACTTTACCTTTTGGTTGATCAAGTCTGCCATCATTTTCCTAAAAATTCCCATGATAGTTTAATGCAGTGCTTCTCAACCTTGGCAGTTTGAAGATGTGTGGACTATGCTGGCTGGTGAAATGTGAAGTTCAAACTGCCAAGATTGAGAAACATTGGTTTAATGGACAGATAGTCAGCAGATCAACTAATAATGGGAGTCAGTCCTGCAACTCATTGTTTCAGGAAGGAAGTTAACAAAAATATTAAAAAAACTTACTTCCACAATTTCTACCAACTTTCCTTCAGGCAGAACAGAATGGTTCATTTTAGCAATCCACTTGAGGGTAGCAAGGGCCGCTTTATCATTTCCACAAGACACATTATATCGAGCAGACTCGGGGATAAACTACAAAATACAAATGAGTTAGATAAACAGGCACCAGCATTTCCAGTGTACCATCAATCTTATAGTCTTATTGTAATAAAGACTGGATTCGATGTAGTATCTCTTTTAGCATTAGAGCATTCAGATTAATATGATGAGTCACTGCAGAGCAATTCATGCAATGCTTTCTGTCCACACAAGCCATTTTCGGAAAGTCTATCAGAAAGTAATAGAATATGTGCTAATCCACAAATTACATCTATAGCTGGAAACAATTCCAATAAACCCAAAAGATAAATGAATACTGGTGTTTATATATGCAATTACAAGTCTACACATTTGTCTGAATAAAATTTGTGTCAAAACAGAATGGAAGCATAAACATTTTGTATGACTTAGCCCAGAGAATAATGTAAAATAGACTGTTTCTTAGCCAGAAATTTACTGCAACAGGCCAATAGAATACAATTGGCATTCTTGGCTTTGAATCATCTTGGTTCCTTGGTTTCCATTTAACTATAAGGGACCTTTCCTTCACTTGCAGGTTAAGTTGGCATCAGAGCACCTTTGCAATACCTGTGAATTCCTGCATCACCCAATAATGGACTTAGCTTTTCTCTAACTCCCATGTTAAAGTTTTAGGCAAATTCTTCTAATTGCAGAAAATAACAATTTTCTTGCTTAAATCAAATCATCAGGGTACTGCCTCAGCAATGAAATGTCCCCCAACATATAAACAAACAACCCTCGAAGTGTTTATGAGAACAGTGGATCAAGGGTGTGGTGGAATATGGTCAGGCATATGAGAATATATTGTCTGCCTTTTGTCTTAAGACCCAATACAGCAGGATATGCCAGTAATAAGATAGCCTGCACAGCAATTACCTGTGTTTCCCTGAAAATAAGACTGGGTTATATTTTGGGGAATCACAAAATAAGCACTTGGGCTTATTTTAGGGTGTGTTATTTCTCCCCCCCCCCTATGTACAGGAGACTCACTTCTTCTGTTTGCTTGCAGTGGGGCAGGAGGTTGCATGATGCGCCAGCAGCACCATCAAGAGGCAGGAGGGGATGGAGCTGCTCCACATACCCCACACCAGTTTATCTAAGCCACGCCCTGCAGCCAGGCCACCCACGCCCCGATACCTGCCTTACCTTGCAGCCATGTTACCAGCAACCCCACATGGCTGCCAGCCCACTTCTTCTGTTTGGTCACAGCCAAAATGGAGCAGAGAGCCAAGCAACAAGACAGAATGGGCAGGCGTCTGGCTGTGCAGTCTCTTAAGTAGGGCTTATTGTGGGGATAGGGCTTATATTAGGTGCACATGTAAAACATGCTAGGGCTTTTTTTGGGATAGGTCTTATTTTTAGGGATACGGGCTAGTTGCCTCAGAATACTGGCCCTCAATCCATTAAGAGGCGATGTTTGATTTGCAGCATGCATACAGGATTGAAGTTGCAACTGCTTTTGAGTCATCCAAGTTATAATTTGGTGTAGTGGGTAAGGCACCAGGTTTGAAACTGGGAAATTGTAAGTCCTAATCCTGCCCTTAGGGACAAAGCCAGCTGGATGATCTTGGGCCAGTCACTTTTTCTCAGCCCTAGAAAGCAGGCAATGGAAAACCACTGCCAAGAAAACTGCAGAAGCTGGTCCAAGAGTCAAGACTGATTTGAGGATAGAAACAATTTATGGCATCATTTTTTATTATGACAGTTCTTCACAACTTGCATGAGTTCCACATAAGACAGTTTGGAAAACATTGGAGCATTTCAATGCTTTTGTTTACATAATTTATAATCAGTCTTCTGTCACATCTCATCTTGTTCTAGAAAGGTCTTTGGCTTTTGGGAAAGCCCACAGATATGTTTACTGGAAAACAATGATTAGAAATAACTCCAGATATTTTATTTCCTTCTTCTTTAGAATACACCTTTCTTTGTTTTGTTTGTTATTTCTAACTAATGGTCACACTAGGAATTTCATTTCTGTAACTTTTTATTAGAAGCAAGGTATTCCTACATTACTTCATCAATTGGTTGGAAAATTACTAAGAAAATTTCAATCAATCAATCAAAGATTTTTTTTTCAGATGAAAGGATTGGGGTATAAAATCTGCTTCTGTATCCAAATAAGTTTCAGATATGAAGATATCTTGTCTCTCTGTTTTATGATATGTTCATCCTCTTTAAGAGTTTCAAGTTAAGCATATACAACATTGCTCTCTGTATCACAAACTAAATCTATTGAATTTATGAGTATGGTTGAGCATTTTGCATGGTATAAATTGATAAAAATGTTGATGATTTGCCAGCATCAATGAATTTCTTTATAAACAAGAAATCTCTACAAACATACATACTAACACACACCTCTACCTAACTCTCTCTCTCTCTCTATGCAAACCTAAGTTCTAAGTCTATCATACCTTAAATGCGAAAAGAAGTAGAATGCCTGGAATAGAAGCTATTCGGATCAGCCAACGCCACCCAAGAGTTGGGTTAACAACCGATGCCAATCCAATAATTAATAAGGAGCCTGACAACCAAAATACCTGTGAAATGGAAAAACAAAGGATAGATTAGTAGACAATGAGGTTCTCTACATCTTCACATTCTTTCAACATCCACATCTTTGTTCATACTGAGTTGTTGTATAAAACACAATTAAAATATTGAGTTAAGCATTCCCACATCTGATTTTCGGGATGTCAGTACAAATATTGATAAAGTAAGCAAAATAGTCATCATTGTAATTGTCCATTGGCTGAAAAGGCACTTTATATGTTCTGAATCTCTTATTATTAAGTTTCATTGGCTGACCATGACAACTTGGATATAAGAAAAATTAAAGAAAATTATCCATGTATAATTGCATGGATCTTTGCCTCTTATTAACCTTTTTTTCCTATTTAAAAACTCTAAATGTTTTTTAAATACAATCAGAAGTATGGTTTGTTGGTATAGTGATATATCAGGACCCTTGCTACCCTCCCGGCCTTCCGTAAAGCTACTAAGTCCTGGCTGTTCCGGCAGGCTGGGGGCTGTTGAAGTATCCAACCCCGCTTCAATTGTGACTGTTGTGTATTTTAATATTGTTTGTACTGTCTTATTTATCCCCTCCCCTGTTTTATTGTGAGCCGTCCGGAGTCCTTCGGGAGTGGGCGGCATACAAACCAACCAATAAATGAACGATATAGATATTGATACATTTTTCAGCAAATAGATTTCTGTCTTACCTGTGATAATGGTAAAACATAACCACGGTATTTTGTGGGCAAAAATTCTGTTTTGATTATAAGCCTAGAAAAAAAAAGTAAGGAAAGAAGGTAAGAAGATTAAGGAAAGAGAAAAAATTGTATTAATTGAGTTCAAATACTTCCATGACCCTTCCAGTACCCTTACATTAATAAGGATTTGTTGAAATAGCCATAATGGCTGGATTCACGAAAGTACCCAATCAATCTAACCTCACCTCAACCAAACCAAACCAAACCAACCCTTCACTGGAATTTTTACTACAACACCCATCAATTCTAACTGAACTGTTTTATTTTAGGCTTAAACCTAGAACTTGATAGAGAAAGAGATATATCATAATTTGCCCTGGAAGATTACAGACATTATACGTAATCTGCTGTTTGAACAAATCCCACAGTACTTCTGGACTTCTGATCTTACGGTAAAATATGCACACATTAAAAATATCAGTAGTTACACATCACATGAGTATGCTGATGTTTGTCCTATTATTGTTTGCACTATGACATTACCCTTGTGAATGACCTGATACGCCACATCCTACGAGGGCTCGGAGAAAGACGAACCAGATGTATGAAGGAGAAAACGATGTCAGCAAAGAGAAATACGCTCCCCATGCAAAAGAGATGATTAAAACCTGGGAAACAATTCATAGATAAGAAGACATTGACTTCAAAGCAACATTCAGCACTCTAGGATATTTATCTCAAGTTTTCCTTGTAGATAAGTTCTGAACATTTCCAGCTCCTAAAAAAAAACTTAATTAACCTTGCAATGAAATACATATTTCTTGAATGTGTGTCACTATAATATAGGTTCCAGATAAAATGCATAAAATATGATGTTCACCTACTTTTAATTTAATTAAAATTACATTGATAATTTTGTATTATTTTTTATCCTGCCTTTATTATTTTTATAAATTACAGGTCTGCCACTAAAAAACTGTTTGATTATTTTCATCTAATCTCCATGTATTTTGGTGTGCTGAAAACAAATAAAATATTAAAAAAACTCCTAGAC